TGAGAAGTTTTTAACTTTAATGAAGTCTAACTTACCAAATTTTCTTACATGGGTAGTGTTTTGGTTTATATCTAAAACTCCACTGCCAAATCCACGGTCATCTAAATTTTCCCCTACCTAAGGGGAAAGTTATTTTTAAGAAGTTTTGAAGTTTTTGCATGTTATACCTAGGTCTCCGATTCATTTTGAATTAAATTTTGTGAAAGGATGAGCAGGGGTTACAGCTCAGTGGTACAGGTAACTTCCTGGCAAGCACAAGGTCCTGAGTTTGATTCCTGGTAGCAATAAATAAGTAAATCAATGAATAATAAAATTTTGTGAAAGGTGCAGGGTTTGTGTTTAGATTCATTTTTTTTAACGTGTGAATATTCAGTCTAGTTGTTCCAGTACCATTTGTTGTATAGACTGTTCTCCACTGAATTATCTTGCTTCTTTGTAAATTGCTTTAGTGGCTGTATATTTGTGTGGATCTATTTCTGGGCTCTCTACCCTGTTCAGGATAGTAAGTTTTGAAGATGAGTACTGTTGACTCCCCTGGGGTTATTTATTTATTTATTTTTCTGTGCCAGCTGGGTATTTTGCTTGGGTACAAAAGCTTTAGAGTAAGTTTGTTAGTGTCAACAAAACTGAATTTTAATAGGAGCTGCACTAAATCTATAAAGTTGAGAAAAGCTGACATTTTGGCAATATTGGATCTTTTGATATACATGTAATCCCTCTACTTATTTAGATTTCTTCCATTACAGTTTGTAGTTTTCCTCATATTTATCTTATATGAAGTTGATAGGTTATGTGTATTTTGGGGCTGATGTAAATGGTAGTGTGTTATTTTAAATTCCATTTGCTTATTTCTGTTATATTAAAAAGTAATGAGTTCTTACATGTTAGCATTGTGACACTTTATATTTTAACTCTGTAAATTTACAGACCAGTTGCTATAATTGTTTATTAGTGCCAGGAGTTTTTGGAGGTTTTGTTTTGTTTGAATTTTCCACATAGATATTTGAGTCATTTGAAAACAGAAACACTTTTCTTCCTCCTCAATCTTCATGCATTTTGTTTCCTTTCGCTTCCTTATTGAATTAGCTAGGACTTCCAGTAGAATATTAGTTAATAATGATAAGAGTGGGCCTCTATGCTTTGTTCCTGATCTTATCAGGAAAGGATTATACATCATATCCAAATGGGATTTATCACAAGAATGCAAGGTTGCTAATGTAGGGAAATACAATTGCCTTACATTGATCTTGTAATCTGAAATCTGGTTAAATTTGTTTAGTAGCTCTAATAGTTTTTAATTAGATTATTTAGAATTTCCTATATACAAAAGCATATCATTTGGAAATAAAGATAGTTTTTCTTCTTCCTTTCAGGTACTTTTTATTTTCTTTTCTAGCCTATAAATTGCTCTGGCTAGAACCACTAGTACAACGTAAAGTAGACTCTTCAAGAGCAAATCCCTTGTCTCATTCTTGATAGTAGGGTGAAAGATTTTAGTCTTTCAAAATTAAATATGATGTTAGTTTTGGGTTTTTCACAGATATGCATTGTTGGGTTGAGGAAGTTTCCTTCTGCTCTTAGTTTTAGAATGAAAGGGTATTAGATTCTGTCAAATATTTTTTCTGCTTCTACTGAGATGATTGTGTGCTATCTGCCCCATATTCCAGTATATTATATTATTGAATCATCTTATGGTGAATAATCTTACATTCCTGAGATTTCTTCTTCATCATGGGTATAATATTTTATGTATACTGCTGGATTTGTTCTGATACATTTAGTTGAGGGTTTTTGCCTGTGTTAACAAAGGAGATTGAACTGTATAATTTTCTTAAGATGTCTTTGTTGGCTTTATTGCCAGGATAATACTGAGTTCACTGAATGATTTGGAAAGTACATATTTCTGTGAGTCAGTTTCCGATCATTTAGTTTAACTTCATTCAGCCTTCATTATATTGTGAAGAAATGTCTCCAAGTTCGTGGTGTGAGGTTGTTTTGGCAGTAGGATAGTTTCCAATGTGTTTCTTACCAGTCATTTTCATTTCAGGGGATGATGGGCAGACAGTTCTGGAACTGTCTGGTCTTGGGCTCCGGCTTACCAGCATTCTGGTAGGTCTAATAGAAAGAAGAAGGTCATCGAGAAGTACAAAACTCCCAAATAATCAGGAACCTAGTTGTACTACAGTTCTTTCAAATAATTTTTGAAAATTGAAGTAGTTGTTTTCTCTGCTTTCTTCTAGTTAATATGGATTTTAACAGGAGGTTTACTATCTCTAAATAAGTCAGTATGCTCCTCCCTGAGGATCCAGTGCAAATGAGTGCTTTTGTGTTTATATTGTCTACCCTTTCTATTTGTTTTCATGTTGTCATCTATAGAAAAGGTAACACAGCTTAGTTTGTAAAGTGTTTAACTTTGCTCCTCCCTCAGCTTCATGGTATTGAAATAACCTTAGAAGAAAAAATATGTCTCGGGGTAAGACACAGAGAGTATCATAAATGAAAGTTCTTAGGGCTCATTGCCTTATAAACTTTCACAGTGTGATATTTCCAATGAAGGCATAAGAGATGGATATTATTCCCATTTTTCAAGTGAAGAAATTGTGATTAGCAAGGAAACTCTGATTTGGAGTTAAATCACCAAGCTCCTGATGAAATTTTACATTGTGATCTTTCCTAGTTTTGACCAAAAAAAAAAAAAAAAAAAAGTACCCACCGTTGCCAAAATCAGTGGATTTTTAGTAAAGATCCTTTGGTCTTTGGTGCAAACTTTTTTCTGTTTCTTTAAGTCATAATGAAGGGATGACTTCTAAGTCATCAAAAGATGAATCCATTGAATTCTTAAAAAGAAATCCCAGGTAGCTGGTTGTTCTTGAAATGTCTGCTATTGCTAGAAGCAGGTCATGTGACCAATTAAAAGTTTCTTTAGAAAACAGAACATAGAGGTCACTTGACACAGGAATATTAATTTAATGTTCAGATCAAACAACACCAATGTTTATATCAACAGTTTGATGGTAACATGGAGGCGTTCACCTCTGGATTTCTTTAACAGTACAAGAAATAACACATACATGCCCTGGGTCCATCCTGGGAAGAGAGATATCAGGGCAGTGTTTGAACAATGACCCAATAAGCAGTAGCTGACAATGTGCTGAATAGGAGAAATTAAGTGTGAGATGCCTACAGCCTCACACACAAAGGGTGACACTTACCAGAAATAAAGATTAACTGCTTGCATGTTAAATCCTGAGTGGGCCAGTGTTAGACTTGGGGTGAGGGTGACCAGAGTCTCAAAAAAGAAAGCAAAAGACATTATTAATATTATTCCCTAAGCAAATATTGAGTGAGTTAATGATGGAGAAGAGAGTATTTTAAAGATTAAGGCGCTCACTGAACCACCACAGAATCAGGTGTGGTTTATACAGTGAGGTCAGTGCCCAGATTTACCTCTGGTCTATTCTACAAGACTCCAAAGCTGCAGCTCCTGCAGTGATAGATCATGTGGCCCACACCATAGGACTCCAGGTACTAGGATCCTCTGGCAAAACCGCTTCCGATAGCTTGGGAGTTCTCTGAGCTAATGGCTCGATTGCCTTGCAAAAATTATTCCCTCTTTCTCCCTTTCTGAAATTAAGTCCTTAAGGGAGTGAGTGCATTTGAGTGGAAGAATAAGATCATCAGCCAGATCTAGTCCCTAGGGAGCTGGGAAAATGGGTCTCTAGCTGTTACTTCCACTTCCGAGGAAGTAGAACTCGAAGCCTGGAAATTTCCAAACATCAGAAGCTTGCTTGAAAGAGGGGCAGACAGAACATTACAAGAGTCACTTAAAGTGTTTGCTGCCCTCAAAACACAGGTGTGAACCAACAGCTCTGGCCTTGGGAGACACCTGGTTCGGGTATCGTGGTGGTATGTATGTGAGGGGTTTGACAGGGCTGACGAGCAGAGTCACTTGAGCAAGGTTGTGTGCAGCTCCGTCCTAGAAACGGTGATTATCACCGTCTCTACCTCATAACATTATTCCTTCTTAATTTTAGGTGTGTTATACTAGTTTAATAAAGAAGATACATTATTCTACTCACAATAAGAGTTAAGTGGTTACTCAATTTATGTATGCTACGACTACTAAGAAATCTGGTGGTTAGCCTCACGTTGGTCAAGAACCCCAGAATAGTAAGTACACAGTGAATATGAGTAAATGTACAGTATTTTGGGTAAAGATCTGAGCTTTACTAAGATTCTCAAATAGGTTTGTGACTGTGCTTCTCTCCTTGCCAAACTTCTAAAGCTTTAATAGAATTTAGCAGACAAACATCATTGTATTTTACTTACTCAAATTGAAAATCCTGGGCTTTGCAACTTTCTATGAAGGTGAACAGAATAAAATTTCATTCAGGTTGGTCATTTTAGTTGGAGAGAAAATATGCCTAAGAATGAATTAAACAGTCCAAATTTCCCTTTTCTGTTGCCAAGTGTGTAGAGTCAGATCAGCATTATAGTATGCAGTATGTTTAACTCAAGGAGAAACAATTACGTTTGATGCCAATAGAAAAGTAGGTATGTGTTTGATGTAATAAATGATATTTTAGCACTTGGGGCTTTCACCTTGTGGTGGGGTGTTTACTTTTATGGATTACACAATTTGTCAAGCAGTCAACATCAAAATTTAAGGTCAAACTGGCAGGCATGATGGTGGATGCCTGTAATCCTAGCACTTGGGAGGCTGAGGCAGGAAGAGGCAGCCTAGACTACATGTTGAGTTCAAGGCCAGTCTGAACTACATAGTAATAATACCTTGCCTCAAAAAAACAAAACCCCCCAAACCAAAAAACCACAGTATAATAAAGGTTGCATTCTTTCTTAAATTTTTTAATGAATTTCATGCTTCAGTTTATGTTATCTGCAAAAGCAATGTGAAGATTTATATCAGGGAATAGTTTGAAGAGCTTGTCAAATATTTGTTATCTAAGTCATTTTTGTGATACATTTTTTATTTGTTTGGTAAAAATATGGAATGCTTCACAAATTTGTCTTCCTTGTGCGGGGCCATGCTAATCTTCCCTGTATTGTTCCAATTTTAGGGTATGTGCTGCCGAAGCGAGCACTGGGGTACATCTGAAGTTCCAAAATGCCTGGAAAAACAAATGGATGCTGAACTACATGAATGTGATTAAGGCGTGAGCATGACGGTGAGTGAGATTTGGTTGTAATGTGCTCAGTAATCTTGGGATATACTGGGGGAGTGTTGGGATTAACAGGAATTACTAATAAAATTGGTAATAGAAATTGTAAAAGGATATTTATCTCTAAAGCCAAATAGAAAGTCTCATAGAGAAGCAGTGGCACAAATGCCAATGCATGTCCCTTCTTGTTGGCTTTTGCATCCCCTCTACCACTCGTTATCTTTTCATGGCAGCTCCTGTTCACTTCCACTTTTTTTTATTTTTTATTTTTGTATCTCCTTGTCTGTCACCGGGTGCAACTAACTCTAAGGCCCTTGAGTTATAAAAGATAAATACAAGAACATTTATAGCTGTAACTTTCATGTCAAAAGCTATGAAGAATTCGATATGTCACATGGCTATTTGGGGAGCTTTTGTTTAGAACTTCCAGGGTCCCTGATTTACTGTTACAATAGATCTCCCTACTGTAAATCCAGATAGGTGAGAAGAAGAGAATTTAAGGATGACTAAGAAGATTTTTCTGTTAAAAATCTGGAATCTGAATGAGTGAATCTCTTTTCTATATTGAGTTAAACTGTTGAGTCCCTGACTCCCCAGCTAGAAAAAGAATCCAAATATATTTGGGCAGTGGGGTGGAAAGCAGGCCAGCAAAGGACTCAAAGAATTTGAGTCTTGAGTTTTAGAGACTAAATTTTATATAGGGGCCTTTTGGAAGATGTTCCTTCTAGTTCCAAACCCTAGAAATACTTAATGATCCCTTCCTGTAGAGCAAGGGGTTGAGATATATCTGGGGCCAATACTGTTTATTCAACAATGTATGTTCCCTCTGTGAGATCTTGTACTGGGCATCAGAGAATCCAAGGCAACTGAAACATACTTCTGACACAGAAAACCTTTATCTGTGGGAGACAGAGGAAGGAGCAGTGTGGTGGAATGTCCCTCCAAAGTCTCATGCATGCATAGGTGAAGCTTCTGGGAGTGTCCAGAGTGTGAGGCTGGATCATGTGTGTGTGATACCAAATTATCCCATTGATTGGTTTAGCATAGTTCTGAGTGTGGGTGATGGAAAATAAGAAAGAAGTTTTTCTGCCTTCTGTCTGTCATGCCAAGGATTGTTTCTCCTCTGCCACGCTCCCTGTTATGCTGCCCTGGCTTGGAGCCAGCTGACTATGAACTGAAACTTCTACAAATTGTGAGCCAAAATAAACCTTTTCTCCCTTAACTTGTGGTTATAAGGTGGCTTATCCCACCATAGAGAAAGTAACTAAGACATCGATTAATTTTGGTGATCAAACAGTGCACACAGTAGGAGGGAAGTACATGTAGATAAGGACACCTAACCCAGGTTGACACTGATGGTGGGGGTATTGGGGAATTTTTTTGGAAAAAGAACCTGAGCTAAGGCCTGGGGGTAGGTGGAGAACCACTGGCATTAGCAGAATTGTTTGCAGAACATATTTGGCCGAGCAGTCCAAGAAAATGGGAGAGCTACAGATAGATGGTCGTGAAACCAGAGCAATAACAATCATAGTAGTTAGCCCAATAGTTTGGGTTAGCCTCGTCAGAAAAATCATGCGACTTTTGAGATTTTCTGCAACTTACTGAATGAGCCCACATGAGGTATTGGTTAAGTATGGGCTGGATCTAAATCTGGGCTTTACTAGTGAGTAATTGCTTCCTTGAATAAAAGGAGACAACCACTAGTATCTCCTAGTGCTGTGGTGGTGAGGATTAAATGAGTTAAGAGCTTAGACCAGTGCCTGCTAAATGTTAAGCATCATAAGCATTAGTTGCTTTGAGGGTGTGATTCATAGTTCGGTTCCTTGCAGGACTGGTTCTAATGGAACTACCTAAAGCACATATTCCAGGATACACCCAAGAAGTGCTGAAACAGTGCCTCCAGGTTCAGACAGGTGTGCTGGGAAAGACTGGTTGCTATGCCTTGATCCCTTCCTTGGCTGCAGAAGCTACTGTCACTGCCTACCTTGGTAACAAATGGATGGGGGAAATCATGTAGCCCAGGTGTATGCTGGGTACAACATAGTACTGTGTAGTTTTCCTGAATACATGGAAGAAACTGTTTTTCTTTTCACAATTTGATGTTCCCATGTGTAGAAGTCAAGAGGTAAGGAAAGGTAAGAGATAATAGCAATAGAAATGCTGTGCATCAAAGGGGTCAGGACACAGGGCCCTGTCCTTAGCATATTGACTTAGGAAAAACACGGGAGGGTCTGAGGAGATTTGCAGCAGCCTTGGTGCTGCGTATGTCACAGCCAGCCATGGAAGATGTTGAATGGCATGGCTAAATGCAAATGGATTCCCAGGAGGAGAGCACACAGGGTGGGACTGGTGAGGCCAGTATGCGTCTCTGCACTCAGTACCAAAAGGGGCCATCTCATCTGAGTGTTTGCCAGGAAACTCTCTAAAATCAGTGCTCTGAGCAGACCCCGGAGCTGGTACTGATAGGATGCTTTTCCCTCCTTGACTCCCACTGTCTTCATGAGTCATTTATTCTTGGCATCCTGTGCATTTGACTTGTGCAGGATGGCACGATAGGTCTAACTTCCGTTCTGTATGTGAGCCCACTCCGTGTTGGGGACAGACAGTCCTCCTCTGAAGCTGAAGCTGACTAGATTATGTGAAACTTTCTTCTCTCCATCACTGCTTGGACCTGTTAAGCACTTGGGTTTCTAAGGATTTTTGAAAAGCTGCTCCAAATGCATAAGCAAATAGTCTTTGAAAGGATTGCAGGAGTTACCATAGCTGCTGGGGCTGCTGCAGTTGGATATCTAGCTTACAAAAGATTCTGTGTTAGAGATCATTGCAATAAATCTGTGGTAAAACTTCACATCTGGAGAGACAAACCCAAAGTAGCACATGTTTTGACATGTAGGGTTTGGGAGATAAAGCTATGTACCGCTGTTGTTTGGAAGTCCAAAATGTTGCCATTCTGTGATGGATCTCACACAAAACACAATGAAGAGACTGGAGACAATGTGGGACTTCTGATCAAGAAAAAAGAAACTTAAATGGACAATTCCAATGTTATAAATCAGTTCATAATGATGTTACCTGATTCACTTCTCCTGGATTTATTATTATTATTATTATTATGCTTTGTATTTTTGAGACAAGATTTCAATATGTAGTTCAGGCTGTCCTTGAACTCACTTTGTAGCCTAGGCTAGCCTCAAACTCACAGTGATCCTCCTGCCTCAGCCTCCCAGGTGTTGGGATTACAGATGTGCACCACCAAGCCCAGCTTTCTGCTGGATTCTAGACACGGCATATCGCAAACTTCATCTATCAGGTTCATGGCATTTGCCTTACTTTCTGAAACACTATAGTGCACATTTGTTTAAACAGGAAAAAAAAAAAAAAAGGAAAAGGAAAAACAAATAAACGAACCTCCCAAGCATTCTGACCACTCTGTACCTAAAGAAAGATTTGATAGTTGAAAATGTGCAACGAATTGTGAAACATGAAATAAAAAAAATAAAGGCCACAAGTGTCAGGAGTCTAGAATTTAAGAATTTCAAATTCCTCACAAAGAGAATTTTACCATGTTTTTACCCCGCCCCCCCCCTGCAACCCCGTGTGTGTGTGTGTGTGTGTGTGTGTGTGTGTGTGTGTGTGTGTGTGTCTGGGGTAAGATGATAGGCTGGTGACACGCCTTCCCTGGCACTGGCCTGCCTGCTGCCATCTTGGAGCTTTCCCAAGGCAGTTTGCTGGAATGGGCACTCAATATGGTGTAGACACAGAGCAGGAAGACACATCCCTGCTTTCAAAGACCTTACCATCCAGTAGAGACAGTGGCATACAATGAGGGCTACCCTTTCCTCAGTGCCTGCCAAGGTCTAGGCTCCAGGCCTCATCACAGTCTCAAAAATGTCTGTAAGATGCCTGGGGTGGTGTTCATTTTAAAGGTAAAGGACAGTATGTCTCGGTGAGTTAAAATCGTTTGCCAAGGGAATACAGTCAGCAAGTAGGAAGTCAGGTGCACGGTGCCCCAACAGCCAACCAGGCAGCATGTGATTTTTCTTACTGTAGTGGGGTCTTCAAAGACCCCCCCACCTCCCACGGTGTGGACTTGATTTTTCAACTATACCATAAGCTCCTGCTCATCTTCCATATTGGGGTTCATAGTCACTCTCGAATCAGGAATTTCATTTTTTCCCATCTTGGCTTCTGATAATCTGCTTCCCACTCCCCAGAAATATAATAAAGGAGAAAACTTTGTTTTCCTCTCCATAATTTTGTAAATAATCGTACTGCCTTTGATTTTAACGAAACACATGCAGGCTACTTAAAAAATCAACAATATAGATGTGAGTAGAGGCCAAGTTTTAAGGTCTTTTCACTAAACCCCCTTGGTTCACCACTCTCGGGGATAACCACTTTCTGGGTCATAGTTCCTTGCATAGTTTTTATATCTGCTACAATGCATCTAGGAACACACAATTCATTAATTTATAAGCATTTTGTTTTAATTTTATTTTTGCGGTGTTGGGGATTGAACACAGAGTCTCCTGCATGGTGGGCATGAGTTCTCCTACTGAATCACACCTTCTGTCCCTTATTTTTACTTTTTTTTTTTTAATAAAAGGGTACTTCCTATAAATGTACTGTTCGGCAACTTGCTATTTTTCACTTAATGTATCCTGGACTTCTTTCCATGTTAGCAAGGCCAGAGCCACATTATTATTTTTTAAAGAACTATACAGTGTAGATTTTCTATATGTTATCTAACTGAATAACCATGCGAATAGTTAGGTTGTTTTTAATTTTTGCTGCTTTGAAACGGTTGTATTGAGTGTAGAATTATGTTTGTGTCTTCATGGTCTTATATCTTGTGGATAAAGTTTTAGACAGGCACTCTGGTTTTCTTCAATACTGAGTTAATTTTTTTTAAAAACTTGTGA